AAATCAGAGAATAAATAAATGTGTTTAAGTTATTACGACATGAAAATCAACAACTTGTCTTCAAGTATAACGAAATTAGAATCAATCTACGTGTCTTCAGGTATAACGAAATTAGAATCAATCTACGTGTCTTCAGGTATAACGAAATGAGAATCAATCTACGTGTCTTCAGGTATAACGAAATTAGAATCAATCTACGTGTCTTCAGGTATAAAGACATGGGAAACAGCCAACATGGCTTAAGTTATAACGACACAAGAATCAATCAACGTGTCTTTAGTTATAATGATCTAAGATTAAATCAATATGTCTTAAGTTATAAATGATCTAAGATTAAATCAACGTGTCTTTAGCCTTAACGACCTTAGAAAATAATCAACGTTTCTATAGTCATTACGACTTCAGACAAACTAAACTTATAATTTAACATTAATACACAATTAGATTAACTGAGATGATATATGCGGAAATCAGATGACTTCATGAAGCAACAAAAAATCGAGCTAAACCTCAACAACAAAAATGAAAAAAGGAGTCACTGAAGGCAAAATATCAGGAACTTTCATAAAACATCATTTGCAAAAGAAGAATCTAAACTGACCCCTACATTTGTAGATATCCTGACTCGATAGCACAAGCTGATGGGCTTCGCTCAACCGCTGAACAAATAAAAACGGAATAAGATCCTTCGGAAAGGGAAGTTTGTCATGCACCACATGTGGTATACGCGGTGATGTTTCTGATGATGCAATCATATAGTTCATCAACGATCAAACAAAGTGAAAGAAAGTTCTTTTAACCTTGCAGTTATTGAAATTTCATATTTGACGGTGTAAATCAAATCAGTTCAGGTAGAATACATTGGCTATGCATTTTATTAGTTTACAGTCTTTGTTTATGCAGAAAAAATATATAAAAAAGTCAATGATTATGGAATTGATGTCATGACGTGAGGCTTGGTAATGGGTTGACCATTATTGTATTGTTGTAGACTTATGTCAAGATATAAAACCGAGGAATTTGGTGTCTATGGTGTCTTTAATTTCAAGGTCTTGATGAAAAATAGTCAAATAAGAAGCATCAAAATTGTTATTCATGCAAGATAACAGCCATATCAATATAACTAGTCTGAAGAACTGAACGGGTATCTTTCCTCAGTTGTGTCAACTTGGCTTTTGGTAGCTAAAAGTTAAAAGTTTAAGGTGCACATTAAGCCTCAATGAATAATTACTTTGAGTTGAAATACCACAATTTTACCAAAACATGTTGTCTTTCAAGAACACGTATCACATAGAATATGTTTTGTAGTTTTGAGATTGCATTTCTCTCATGAAAGTTATATTTTTTTTTTATGTTTGGTGTTTGAAAAATAATTTTCTGTCCTGAAACTTGTATCCATGTCCTAACAATTAGTAGTCAGTCCTGATGATAGTATTTCGTTCCTAATATTGTCTATTTGTCATTATAGCTGTGTTTCAGTCCTTACAGCTGTATTCCAGTCTTGTTATTGTATGTATGTCCCATAAGTTTCTGTCCCTGTAGTTGTATTTCTGTTATATCTGTACTGTTAGTTCCGGTAATAAGGGGTGAACAGGCTTTAAACATCTTCTTGTCAAGTTTGGGTGAGAATTAAAACTCGTTTTGCAATGGCGATGTGTGCAAGTTCTGATTAGTTCAAATTTGTTCAAATCTGATGCTTGCCAACATATCACTTTTGTGCTGCAACATAATGGAGAGGGCTTAGAGTGTTAACCTTAATCAATCGGTACGTCTATCGACATCCGAGTAAGACCAGTCGTTTTTGAATTAGAAGTCCATCTGTCATTAAACTTCATATACCCGAAAGACAACTTCACCACTATACATATAGGTCACTGTGACTTTTTTTCTGTTTGTCTGATTTTGGTAGGACTTTGCATTTAGCAAGACTTTGAGATCAGCAAAATTTCTTTGACAACATTTGCATTTAGCTTCATCTCTTTGATAAGACTTTGAGATCAGCTCCATCTCTTCAACGAGACTTTGCCACTACCTCTTTCTCTTTGACGAGACTTTGCGATTTGCTTCATCCCTTTGATAAGACTTTGCGATCAGCTCCATCTCTTCGACGAGACTTGCATTTACCTCTCTCTCTCTTTGACGATACTTTGCTATTTGCTTCATCTCTTTTATAAGACTTCGCGTTAGGCTCGATTTCTTTGATGACTCTTTACGAGTAGCCCAATTTCTTTTATGATCCTTCGCGTTTAGCCCCATTCCTTCGATTAAACTTTGCGTGTAACTCCATTTTCTTGAAAAGACTTTGCGTTCAGCATCATTTCTTTGATGAGGCTTGGCTTGTCCATCTTTTTTTATGAGACTTTTTTTTATTTTTTTTATCACTATTTACTTTTAGTTCTTTGTCTCGTTCACTGTGGGATACTATTTCACCCAAGTATTGACTGTCTATTGGTGATAACCAAAAGATGATTTGATTCGATTACATGAATTCAATTGCTATGTTTAATCTTGATAGAAGATTTTTAATTTTCGATAAAATCTTGTTTCCATTTTTTTATTAACTTTTATTCTGCTAAATAAAATAATGTTATTGATACATTTTACATTTTTATTGTATTTTTATTTAGTAAATGGCTGACTGTATAATGAAAAATCTCCTCTATAAATATATTATCGGATTTAACAAACCGGAATTTTTCAATTAAATGATATAAGATTTCATTTTATAACAGTTACATGTGTAGTAAATTTGTTGATAATACACATATCATATTTGTGGTTATTGTTGTTTGAAATATGTACCATCACATTTTCCTTGTGAGTGTATTTTTAATTAAACCGTAAATGGATTAATTATATAAAAAAGACACCCACGGATATTGCTACACTTAAAAACAGTAAGTTGCGTGTTATGTAAATAAAATATTTCGAAATATAATACTTATACTTAATTTTAATTTAACTTCATATGGATGTGGGACACAAGGAAAATTTTAATTTAACTTCATATGGATGTGGGATACAAGGAAACATTATCAAGATAGAAAGTGAGAACACTTACAGTATATATATTGTTGATTTCAATCTCGGGAAATCATTTCATTTTTGTATCAAAACATTAACATTACAAAAATTTAATAATTTTATGTACGCCACATTAAATGTTTAATCGCCTTAATGTAACTGAGTCAATCAAACTAGCATACAACAAATGGTCATTAATTCTAAAATGTTTCAATAAAAACAATTTAAACACATTTTAAGACATAAGTTCCTTTGGATTTTACTTATTATTACATATTAATGGTATTTGACCATGAAAGCTAACTAAATCTTTTTTGAAATATTGTATAAAGATTGCAAATTACTTGCTTTTATATTTTATGCATCCCAGCTGCTTAATTTAATTAAAAGTGAGAGCACCAACGTTTAAATAATATTAAATCGGTCTTATCGATTTCAAATATTCAGAAGTGTCAGGCTTATTTTTAGGTTACGTCATATATTTTTGGCCTTTTATCACTGAAAAATGTATAACATATTACACGTTTGGATACTAAAGTAAACCCCTATTACACGTGAATCAGCTTCTACTATTTTTGAAGTTTCTAATTTGCTTTTACTTGTTATTTTTGTTGAAATAAAGACCGTAAAAATGTTTGTATCAGTTAGATTAAGAAAGAAATTTGGTTACAAAAGCATCCAAGATACCTTGTATGTCATGAATATTTATGAGATAGTAAATCTGTTCAGTCGACAGCTGCTAGGATTGTTGACGCCCCCGGTTAACCTATTGGCTAAGGAATAACTCATGAATATTTACCGAATACAGTTTAACCATAATTCAATGGGCGGGCCTTAAATGTATTTGCTACGACAGAGATTATTATTGAGGAAGTGTACAATATGAAATAAATGCAATGGTCGAGAACGGAGCTCTTCGGCCATATTTTTGAAAGGAAAGTTAGTTAAATTCATATTGTGAATATCTTTTTACATATGTACAGCTTCGCTCTGCTGTTTGTGATTTTGGGGGAAGCAAATAACATGAATGAACAAACGATGACCCTTTAGGACCGCCTCTTGACCTTAACATCTCAGAACGACATGGGAGGTTTATCCTTTCTCAATATCAACAAGGATATGATCGGTACCTTTTTCAAATCTTCTTAATAAAATCTCGATAATCCATGATAATCCTTCTCAAATATTATAAATGCTTTGTATAATGGTACATATTGGTAACAATAGTAACAATTTCACAAATGAAAATACTTTTTTAAAGTTATTATTTAAGATATTGGAATTGTCTTTTTTACATAAGGCTTGCTCGACTCGGTGATAATTATTTATAGTTAAATATCTACTTATTTGTGTTTATGTCATGCATACCAACATAAGCTATACTAGTCATATTAAATATTCTAATAATGTAAAGAATTTAAATACTTGTGGACATGACCTTATTTCTCAGTCCTACCGGATGTTGTACAATGTTGTTGCAAAATAAGATACAGTTGTATATAGGATGCACATAGTCAAACGGTTTTTATTAGGTCACTATGTCGTTCCGTGTCGACTTTATAAAGTAAGCTTGTACTGGAGTATGCTACGTGTATTTGGATAAGTACAGGCGTATACATAAACAGGCGATTTTCGAAACCAGTGAACCGTAACGGCTGTAATAGCGATTGTTTGTAGCTTTTTTAATGTACGCGTGAATATATCGTCAACTTGACCTGGAAACCACCGAGAGAGCTCCACAGCTCGCTACCATAGTAACGGAGAGAAATGCACTGTTTATCCTCGACCTGGCTACCGTAGAGAATTGACCCTTGACCAGTTCGTGAGGTCAAGCTTTTCTGGACCATGTAAAACAACACAGACCAGGCCTACCTGGGACATCGCTTTCACAAAGGACCGGGGATTTCAGTGGAACACAGGCGCCTGTGACCTGTTGAATGTACGCATCTCATTCACACACATCGCGGTGTCTCTCGACGTGTAAGCAAGTAGCTCCGCCGCTTATCGCCTTGGTCTGAAGATGTGATGGTCAGTGATAGATAGATGACCTAGTAAGAGAATGGTCATCTCGCTAATTGACCGCTAGCTGGCCTTAGGGGGAGGATAATGGAAACAACACCACGGAATAAGGGGTGAAAAGACACTGCCAGGCATTATAATGTTTGGGATATTGAAATGAAGTGTTTCTCCGTATGTGGTATATGATATATCATACAAGTTTTAACTAAACGCCTGCAGGCATGCAGTTAGTGTAAAACCAACGATACTGTTCAAATAATCTTCAAGACTCAAGGAGTTATATCACTGGATAAAATGAACATGTATGTAATCCATCTACAAGCCTCTGGCCCTGACAGACCAAGCTGCCGATGAAGGCAGTGCGATGGACGATTATGGAGGTGAATTCAGCTTTGTATATTCTTTACTTGCATATATGTAAGCTCACTGTCTCATAGAATTCCCCCTCTGGTCATCGATGCCATTTCCTTATGGTTCCGAATATCCTTGTAGATACAATAATCCTTGCAGCGCCATTATTTTAGAGCCAAACAGCTGATTTCAACTTTGTGACTCCATGGTTAGGAGAGTTACCACATCCGTAAATATGTTTAGTGGAGCGGCGCTGCATCTTGATCGATTTATTTCCATGTAAACTGCGTAGAAGTTGTATTACACAACCGTTAGTAATAGCATCATACTGATATGTAAAAAATGTAGGTATCAGCAGATATTTAGAACTCTTTGAACATCTGACCACTAGTGTCGTCCATTGCTTCTTCAACCATAAACATCATAAGTGATATATTTTAATAGCTTAACATGTGTTACGCAATGGCCATCATCATTTATCTGTTGGCTATGCCGTATTACCGAGGATGATGTCGCGACGATTCTATGGATCGCCTCAACCAAAATGTGCCAACCTTATTTGCACATATTACTTACAGAGGTACCATGATATTTAAGATGTGTATATCTAACATATATACATACAAACACAACAACAATACCCTAGATTTTAACAGTAGTTACACTTGTAGGTCTTCGTTACAAGATTTGAATGTGACCTTTAAAATACAACACTAAATCACGTTTTTGCCAGCTGACCCACCAAGGAGATGTTTACATGAAGGAAACATTTGACGTCGAGATCATATTCTGGGTCATACTGGATAAATAGTGCATTATATAACAGCAGAGAAGTATGACATACTCCTTAATTTATAACCAACGTAATATGACGTCCTCTGTATGAAAAACACATTCTTAGAATATAATTCAAAATCACTGGTCCAGCGCCAAATAGTCATTATAAACTAGAACGGTCACTAGCACAAACATGGCCGCTCTGAGTGGGGGTAAGTTGGAGGATAGCGGGGTTTAGCACTCGGGTAAATCAAATTCACGTTTAGTAAACAATGTCATATATTTTTATTCTTTGTTTATACTTGCAGCACCAAAAAACTAGAATTTCAAAAATGTTTGTTAAAAAACATGACAATAGTTATATATTGATTGATTTTTTTTGGCAGGAGGAGGACGAAGGAGGGGAAGATGTAAGTGGTTCAATGTTGCTAAAGGATGGGGATTTGTAACACCTGATGATGGTAGCCAGGATGTCTTTGTTCACCAGGTAAGTCATGTTGCTCTCCCTCCTTTTCAAACACAAATTATGCATGCATAACGAAAATACTTCAAAATATATACCTGCAATTAATTATTGGAATTAATTACCTACAGTGTTTTGGATACTTTATTCTCATTGATGTATTCAACTAGTATTTATAATATTTAAAAAAAATAGTATTCAACTAGTATTTATAATATTTTAAAAATTTGGACATGTGTGTGTGCATTTTGGAAGTTCACAAGTAAGTGAAAGGCATTTATTTTTATGAATCACACTCTATACTTGGGCTGTCATTTTAGATATATGTATTTTTTCATTGTCTGAGATAAATTTCAAACTAAATGAAATAGTATCTTTTGTTTTTCATCGGTTGTTGTGTAGCATATATCTGGACAAAATTCTCTCACAATAACATACTAATGTTTAAGTACCTTTTAAATATACATTGGTTTCCTAATTGCAATTTTGCACTAATTGTTAACGGCTTAAACGTTTAATTTCTATAAAATAGAGATAACAGATATTCAAGCCCTTTGAATAACGCAAAAATTAAAAATTACATATCCCCGATAGTTTGAGTGCTGATATTAATACACATTTGATGAACAATGAATACATTTCACAGTATAAACACACGTTAGAATTTGCATTTATCCTATTTTTGAAAATTAACGTTGCAGCTTGAATAATTATATATCCAGTGTAAACGTTATTTATATACATGTACTATGGTTCAAATAGGATAAATTGTTCAGCAATTATGCTATTATGATGTTGGATACGTATCAAACAAACACTTCAAACTTTTGACAGTATAAAATCCAGTAATTTTGTGTTTTTGAAGCTAACCAAGATTGAATTTGTAACTTGCTATTAGCTATATTTCTTTTTTCGATCAGTAATATGTTTTTTTGTTGATTTATCACATTAAAAAACAATACTTTAAAAAACTAAAGGGGCGAAACGTATTGAACTTCAAAAAGTTTATATTTATGTACAAGGTAAAGTTACAAATATATTATCAAAATACATTGCAAGTTTAATGACCTAGTGTAACAAATTTTACCAGCATGGGACTAAATTTACTTTAAGTTAAAAATAACTACAGGTTCAATAAGCCAGTTTGTCTGTACCCTCTTAAAACTGCTACACACATAGATCTCAATGTATTTTAAGTAAAAAGTGGAAGTCCAATGACCTCGTTTGCTGCCGTATAAATAGCATAAGAATGTTTATGTGTGTGCTTGTGCCATAAAGATAACCCTTCTATTCACTGCCCTACATAGGTCTTCTACCCAACACAGGCCAATCCTCCCAAGCCCTCCCTTGTACGATTGCATACCTGGTCTGGGACACTTTAAGTAACAGGAAATTTGTACTGTTAGATATCACGTTTTTCTTGTAGCAAAATCGTTTTGGTATGTTAAGGCGATCAAGCTGTCAGAGCAGTATGTTTTATTGTTAAGTGACAGTGTATTATACAACAAAATAAGATTAATAAACATTTGGAAATCCCAGAGGTCCCTTGACAATGTAAAAGTTCACTGTGTATCTCTTAATGATCCTGTCCAGTCTTTCGGTAAATAAAAGGAAAATATGTTTACGAAGTGAAAAAAAAATATATATGCAAAATTGAAATTAGTTGCCTTACGAATTAATAGATTTGATATTTACTTGGAGATTATCTGTAATTACTTTTACTATATAAAACAATTGGAAAGGAATTGTTATATAAAATATGTCCATTTTGTGTTATATGAAAACATGATCTTAAATATATTTATATGTTTGTAATAAACTGGTGCATGTACTATATAAATCTAGACATTTTATTAAGTTTTTTATTATTTGGATTTATTTACATTGTTGATGAAGGTAAAACCATGAAAACATCCACATCATTCATTACTGAAGATTATTTCATTTCAATGTGAGATGTTTCCTTAGTGTTGATTTGATTTCATATCAAAGGGGATACTTTAAAATACATTCCATGTTGCTGAAACGTTTAATGGTAAATCTCAAGTGCTGCCACATTTTTCATATAAATAATATAACTATTGAATGAGCTAGTAGTAAACGTACTGCAAACTGGTGATGGATTAAGCCTATCAACACAAAGGTTAGGAACTCTTTTTCATCATGTAATCACATGTCACTCATATATAAATATGTAATGTATAAATCACTATAGATATCACTAAAATCAAAGAATAAATGAATAAAAACATAAACCACCAGTGACCAATCAAATCGATGAGTATCTATGTTATCTGTGGTATCTGACCTCGGTTAATTTGACAAACAACACAGCAATTAAGAAAACTTATAAAACAGATTGTAAACTGACTCTCTAATTTGCCATTGTTCCTTTAACCAGAAACATAAACTATACAGCAATGTTTGTGTTAAGATATATACAGTTTTCCTCAGCGCTTTCGAGCCTATTTACCCCCTTGAAGCCCCCCTTACAATACGTCAAATGTTTAACTGTTACTCCTCTCTGTTGTTTGCACATGTGTGATGATCCTCTGTTCGACTTTGTATGGAGAATTTTGCTCTAGTTGACCTGGCAAGGCCACACCGGAAGTTGAACGGCCATGCTTAAGGGTCTAGCATGGGTCAAACAAACTAAAAGGACCTACTTACACACTAAAGTAATTTTCTATCCGTGTTAAAAAGAGGTCAGGCACTGGCTTAGCAATTGTAAAAATAAAACGAGAAAATCTTACCTGCTCAAATTACCGTTCTCAGGAATACGAATCATTCCATTGTATTTTGTAAATACAGCTGTCTTTACATCATCATGGCAACCAATTAAAGTCCTAACTCAGCAAAACGTTAATGACCCTCCAAATAAGCTTTTGTTTCTAAGCTTTTCCAATTTAAATGAAACACGTCCATCTGTATATATCTATTAGTTGTGTTGACTTTTGGAGATATATTTTCCCTGACGTATAAAGCATACCTTACACTGAAGCAAAGTCTGTACATAAATGTAATTGATATATCTACGTTTAAATATTGTTTATTTTTGTCACCTATTTCATTGGTTTAATATAGTAGCAAATGTTGTTTGCTAACATTTTACTTAATAATATGCAAAACATACCGAAACTGCAATTCCAATACTAATTATCGTATATTGTCGTTGAGATAATGACGATTTTCTTTATTTGAACAAGTATCAAGTGTGATAAAGGCTCACCCTTCGTCATAAACAAACATATATATATATATATATCAATGATGTAATAACTGAAATTACATTGAGTTTATCACGTCATGAACCTCATATCAAGCATATGAATGTTTGGAATACATACAGATTATTTGAATATTTAAAAATGGAGAGAAAATACTAAAAGTAATTGATTACATAAAACCCTTCTGCTCTGTTCTGTGCAAGGTTTATTGCATGGCATCTGAAGACATTGAAAAATATTTTGATTTTATTTATAAAACACCTATAGCAACCACTAGAAATAAGAAATAAGGGAACGCATGTTTATATATAAATGTATATTGTTTAGCAAATATTGGAAGTAAATGAACAGCACTCCTTCTGAGTATAATCTCAAAGTTGATAATAGTAGCCATATTGGTTACTGTTAAACGTAAAAAAGAGATAGTACATGAGGAAACCATTATATGAACATTTGAAATGTTGTTGCTATTGCTATATGAACTTTGATATCTTATAAATAACAGAGATATTTATTGTGCTTGATCATTTATACATATAAGACAGTGAAATATTTTTGAAATTATGTAATATTCAATGTAGCGTTATTGAATTCTGACAGAGATACAATATATCATATTATGGCAATAAACGTGTGTTATTTGGGATGTTTGTATATTCTGTAGTTTAAAATAACCAAATTGTTATGTATTGATGATAACGATGCCACATTACATCATAATAATAATTATAACCGAAAAGTCTTAGCGTAAATATTGATGTTGAAAAGATTAATGGTAATATTCAGGTTTATTACATGACTTACATGAACATTTGAATATTGATATTGATTTTTATTACAAGAATCTCTAAATGTTGATTTTATTTATATCAAATTGTAACATAATTCACCAAATGTTGATACTGACTCTATTATACGAATCTCTGAATATTTAAATTGATTCTAAAACACGAAATTCTAAATGTTGATATTTATTGTTTTAATTGTGACATGAGACTACGAATGTTGATATTGAACTTTTTAACACAAATCTCTGAATATTGGCATTGATCTCAGAATGTTGTTATTGATTTTTTTTCACAAATCTCTAAATGTTGGCATTAATCTCCGAATATTGTTATTGATTTTTATAACACTAATCTCTGAATATTGGTATTGATGCTCTTAACGTGAATTTCGTAATGTTGATATTGATGTTGATAAAACCACAATGTAGACGTTCATATTGATTTTTAAACCGTCATGGATAAAATCTGTTTGAAACATCAATACTAGTTATTCTAATAACATCCATGTCTTCATGTTGATATTGATTTTGAAAACACCAACCAACGAATGGATGTTTATTGTTTATAACATCAACGTCTATGTGTTTTCGGTGTTTATAACCCCAATATATTGACGTTGATATCCATTTTTAAACGTCCTGATATTGATGTTAGAGCACTAACAGTAAAACTATATTAATCACCATTGATGGTAGCTCTTAAAAATCAATAACAGGGATGTTTAAGACACCGTTGATACCTTTTTTTGAAACAATATTAATAAAGGGGCTTATAATATCAATATTAGTTATATTTAAAACGCCAACTATAGTGATGTTTAAAACAACATTTGATATCTAAAAAATCAATGGTAGATAGGATCTGGAAACACCATTTATTCTAATACTTCAAACATCAGACTTCTGATGCTTCAACACCAATAGCAAATGATAGAAACATTAATAGAACTGACATCAATAATAATGATTTGAAAAACTAATGGTAAATACATTTTAAAACACCTTTAATG